TTTTAATTTAAATATAACCCTTCATATCCGGGCTTTGTAACCAATTCCTCATATCCGGAAGGCTTTCTTAGTTCAGTTGTCAGGGATTCTGTTGTATTATCACAACGTTTTGGTCGTTGTGGCTTTCAGTCTTCTTCGGGGTGTCTGTTAATCCAGATATTAATGAATTTCGCACTAAACACTTTATTTAATATATAGAGATAGATAGTTTCCGTTCTGCTACCTAAGGATATCTCTTCTTGTTTTTTTTACTGCTCAATTATTGCTCGCCCGACTCCATACTACCTGGCTCAGGGATTGAACTCAGAAATTATTATAGCACCAAACTCACGAACAAATGTTTTAATAATCTCAGTCACTTGGAAATAGGGCCATCATTAATCGAACAGATGAAAAGGACCTTATATGCTTGTGTATATTGCGTGTTTATATGATCAGATTTTAGGCAAAAAAAAAAAAAAAAAAATAGGGGGTCGTATTATACAGAGGTAATTTTTTTAAAGTGTTTAAAAATCTTGCATTTTCGGTGACCGAAAGCATAAACAAGTAATCATTTTCTAGTGCGGTTTGTAATATAGGAACAAAATGTCGCTGTCGACACTTGAGTTTGAACATAGACCGCCAGTGAGCAAACGCAGACGATCCCATTACTGAATTAAGTAGATCACGTGACCACAGAGGAATCGCACATATGTAGGAAGTCGCGTGACGTCTAAATGATCATTATTCTTAGTCTATCCTCTATTACTATTCGGATCGCTATTTCTAGTCTATCCTCTATTATTATACGAACCACTTGTCTCTACTCTGTTCACTATGCTATTTCTCTACACGGATTACTATTCGAGCGAGTATTATCGAGCAAGTACTATCAGTGCGAGTGATATTCGAAGGCATCTGATACCAGTATTGTTCAACGGTGTTACTATAGTTGTATCTGCGGTTACAAAGTCTCTACTCCAACGAGCAGTACGAAAGTGGCAACGAGTGTTCGTTGACATCACAAAAATGTTAAAATTCATGCAAAAACATTCTGAGGTCGTATCATACATGAAGCCGTTTTATACCCGAGGGTATATGGTACAAGACGAAATATCCGTAGATACCGATAGCGGAACGATAACAATCTACCCGCTTAAAGTAAGTGTTCACTTCAAAATCCTCTGAAAGTTAAATGAATCAACATTTGCCTGAAGATTGAACGGAGGGGAAACGCCCGAAACGTCGTGATAACCAAATGACGAGAAGATTGGTTTGTATGTATATCATATAAATATAATGATAACTCGAAATTTACTGAAAACTAATCAAGAATAGTAGTTTGTTGATTATAGTACCAGGGATTGTTCGGACTGTTGTTCTCATCTTTGTTGCCATATTCACGACGTTTCGGCCGTTGTACGCTCTGACCTTCTTCAGGTGATATTTGTTGGAGTTTCTAATTGAAATTAGAACAGTCTATCCCCGTGGACTAAAAACTTTTCGGTTCGAAATTCCAACAACTATCACCTGAAGAAGACCGGAGCGTACAACGGCCGAAACGTTGTGAATATGGCAATAATGATGAGGACAACAGTCCGAACTATGAAAATAGTGTAAATAGTTATACTACCTCATATCAGAAATATAGACAGAGATTGGTTAGTAACATCGAGTTGACAGAATGCGAAATGAAGATAGTGTGATTGTTTTATGCTGATGTTCCAAGTAGGGGAAGAATTTAGGTCTTGAATACAATAATAGCAAATGCGCAACTATCGATCATTAGTAAGATTATCGGAACAGAGCACAAAAAATAAAAATAGAAAGTTTATAGTGCAATTCTTTTTTCAAATAGATCCAGTGATAAAGATCTGCACGATGCACACGAACTTTCCTCAGTATTATATATTTGTACTCATTGATATCTGACGCTAGCTATTCTTGATAGATTATAATAGAGATTATGTGATAGCAGAAGAGACTCGAGGCGACAGAGATGTGGTTCTACAGAAGGATGCTGAGGATTTCATGGATCGAGCGTGTCAGCAACAATGAGGTCTTAGGGAGGATGCAAACAAGGAGGAGGCTTATATTTAACATCAGGAAGAGGCAGCTGAAGTTTCTGGGATACATAATGAGGAAGGAGGGCTTGGAGAATCTGATACTCACAGGTCGAATAGAGGGAAAGAGAGACAAGGGAAAACAACGCATGACATACCTAGCAGGCTTAAGCTTAATCACAGTAGATGACAGAATGTGGTCTTGGGGGAGGAAGCAGAAGGAAGGAACTTATTGAGAGCTGCAAGGGATAGGAGGAGGTGGAGAGCCATGATCGCCTATGTCCTGAAAGGACATGGCACGTAAAAAAAAAGAAAGAAGCCTCCTAAATATACCAATACGTCTCGCGGTATTATTATTATTTTTTTTTTTAGATATATTATGATTTGGTTGGAAGGGTTTCGTTCTTCGTCGGAATTTTAGTTCTTCCGGTTTCTTTGCAAGGTTTTCCAAGAATGGTCCAAGCGATTTGATTAGGATCACTTCTTACAGACTCTTGCTTTTTTTTTTCAGTTCACCTCAAGACACAAGGAGTTACTGAGTGTGAGAAAACATGAAAAAAAAAAAAACTTTATTAAGTAGAACAATACAATAAAAGAACTTAAGGAATTTAATAAAAAGAAGATAATGATTGACATTGTATTTAATTTTTTGAGAATTGACTGTAAAGTACGAAGCCGGAAGAGAGTTCCACAATCGATAAGTGCGGGAGAAGAAACTGTTAGCATAGAACTTACGGTTAAATCTAGCCATTTGAACTGTAAAATGAAATCCTGCCGCTAATCTAGTCAGTCAGTTATGTGCCATACGTAATACACGCTTAAGCGATCATGTATCTTTCGATACATGACTGACGAAGCAGATTTTTCCCGCAGTAAGTTGCCATTTCTTTCTGCGGTAGACCAGTTGCCATCGAAGGCTATAGAACTTGGTCTGTCCTATTTAGCCATAGCTGGGGGGTGGTGGTAAGAAGAGGATTCATACCTTTCCAATGGTATTACCACGTATATATATTATAACGTTGCAGATTATTCTTGGGGTTTTTATCTAGAATCTCTAGATACATAATAGAAACACCATACCAGATGTGACAGCAATATCCAATGCATAGACGAATGGCAGACTTAATAAATATGTAAATTATAAATGAATTACAGAGTATTTATTCGGCTTCTTAGTCTTTAAATTTCAATCTCTTGTCTAGAAGAGTAACCTTAATTATTAGATAGGTCACATTTTTTATTTTGTTTAGGGTGACGAGAGCTAGTCTCCTGAACTGGAAAAAGGTGATGGGTATGAAATTAAAAAATCCATAAAATTTTACTTTTTCCAATTCTCCAGTCCAGTGTCTGGCCGTCCTGGGTAAGACGATAAATTACATCCAACAGCAAGGCCTCTGATCAGGAGGTTTTGAGGAGCGTGGAACCACCTCTTAATTGTTGGTATTCCTAGGTCCACTCTGATCCGGGGTGGTAGCACCTGTTAGGGTCCCACCTAAGGGCAAATAGTTAACCCCCAAACTGAGGTCAAAATACCATGAAAGTGTAAAAATAGGTTTTAATACCAGAAATACTTTGTAAAAAAATATTACCAGCAATACATTTTTGGAAAAAAAAAAAATTACCAGCAATAAAAATTGTCAGCATTAAATAACCCATTGAGGTTGATATGCCGTAAAAAAAAAAATCAAATCAGTGTCTGGTTCGTGAATACCCTTTGTTTTTGCAAACAAGTCCAAACAGCTAATTTTTATTCAATCGTGTCTGTTTTTATAGAAAGATTTGTTCTAATACATACTGTACTTCCAGTAAAAGAGATTCCCTTTCGCTGTTTAAGTGTCCTTTGCGCAATCATGCACATATCATATTGCCTGTAAATCTGTTTAACTCTAGGAATTTACCTATGTAGCATTGAATGCTGGACAATTTCCTCACAGACGATGAGGAAAACAGAGGTAACGGATATGCAGTTCAACGGAAGAATAGAATTGCTGAGAATATCTTAGCCGGAACATATAGATAATAAGGAAGTTTTAAGGAAAAAAAAGCGCTTCTATATCGTCTGTTTTTCTCTTTATCGCACTCTCTCTCTCTCTCTATTACCAAAATAAAAGTCGTTACTTTGCCTTGGGTAGTATTATTTTTTATTCTTCTTTTCTGTTCACAAAGCCTATCAACGTCATCTCACGGCTACATCGTTGGGTATAGTGAACAAAAATCATCATTCATTTATACAATTTTCAACCTTCTCTTGTTTAGAAAGGGCTATGATCATCTTCCGATGGATTCTGACGATGTATTTCTGCCTTTTATAAGGATGCAGTTATTGTGTCTACTTACCAAATTATTGTTATTATAAACCTAGAACAAACGAAAGAGTCGAATAAAGGAGAGAAAAAAAGAGAGAAAAAAATAAAGAGTGAAAAAGAAAATAAATAATAAAAAAAAACAATCGTTTTTACATTTTCGGCAGATGACTTTATCTATTATTGAGATCACTGTCATGTGTTTTGATTGGGGGAAAAATCGCTTCTAATTTTAATGTTCAGAAACTTTTGGCAAGTCCAAAGCTTAAAAATAAATAGATTAAAAATAAAAAAAAATTGGTACAATATCGCGTTTTATTCAGATCAATTACCATATACACAGACATACACATATATACACACACACATACACACACACACACGTATATTCAATAAAAAATGTCTGCATGCCGAATGCATAGAGTCACCGATGTGGAGAATCGAGTAAGAAGGTGGCGCGCGAGTGACTTTCAGTCTGTTATATTGTACGCCATTCTTTGCATTGCAAGGCTTGTGGCCATCTAATATGAAACATCTGCACAGTGCCTGTTATCCTGACCTTTGTGAAGAGTAACCAAGAAGACTATTGTGAGCAAGAAACTCTGATGCTGTTCCCGATCGAAATCACATGACCCTGTGGAACATTTCCACGCAGTAGACAGAGTTTTCTTATTTGTCCTTTCTTTCTTCTCTTCACTCCTTGTTTCCTTTTTAAATTCCATTTGATCGACTTCTTTCCTAATTTGTTTTTCTTTCTTGGACTTGTTTATCTATCTTTGTTGTATTGTCATATCTTGTCTATCTCTCGTTTTTCTTTTTTTATATTATCCATCATACTTGCAATGTCTCTCTCTCTCTCTCTCTCTCTCTCTCTCTCTCTTGCATTAATCATAATTCTTGCATTCTCTCTCTCTCACGTATTAACTGTAATTCTTGGATTGTTTGCCTGTCTCATTCTCTAATTCTTGTATTATCCTTCATTCTTGCGTTGTCTCTCTCTCTCTCTCGTATTATCCTTCATTCTTGCGTTGTCTCTCTCTCTCTCTCGTATTATCCGTCATTCTTGCGTTGTCTTCTCTCTCTCTCTCTCGTATTATTCTTCATTCTTGCGTTGTCTCTCTCTCTCTCTCTCTCGTATTATCCGTCATTCTTGTGTTGTCTTTCTTTCTCTCTCTCTCGTATTATCCGTCATTCTTGTGTTGTCTTTCTTTCTCTCTCTCTCTCTCGTATTATCCGTCATTCTTGTGTTGTCTTTCTTTCTCTCTCTCTCGTATTATCCGTCATTCTTGTGTTGTCTTTCCGTCATTCTTGTATTATCCGTCATTCTTCCATTGTCTCTCTTTCTCTCTCTCTCGTATTATCCGTCATTCTTCCATTGTCTCTCTTTCTCTCTCTCTCGTATTATCCGTCATTCTTCCATTGTCTCTCTCTTGTATTATCCGTCATTCTTGTGTTGCCTCTCTCTATCTCTTTCTTGTATTATCTGTCATTCTTGTGTCGTCTGTCTTTCTCTCTCTCGAATTATCCGTCATTCTTCCATTGTCTCTCTCTTGTATTATCCGTCATTCTTGCGTTGTCTTTCTCTCTCTTTCTTTCGCATTCCCCGTCATTCATGCATTGATTTTGTGTATTTTTTCATTTTTGCGCTATCCGTATGTCTCTCTTGCTTTCTATCTCTCTTTATTGTAGTCTCGCTTTTTCTCTGTTCTGATTTCGTTTCTTAGTTGTCCATTGTCGTTCTCTTTTCCTCTCTTTTTCTCATATTCCCGCCTTTCTTTTTTGTATTTTTTCTCCTTTTTATTTCTCCTTTTTTTTTTTTTTTTTTTGATCCAAAGATATCGAATAATTTGGACAAGTATTGGACAGGAACAAAGCAATCAAGGCTACTGAGTATCGCTTCATTTTAGGCAAAAGGCTTTCAAACGAATCACTACATTTCAAGTGCCGGGGACCCCATCATCTGGATGGTGCGAACCGGTCGAGACGGTCTTGATCTAATGGAAATCGACGAGTGGGTGCCTGAAAGTCCTTGGCTCGACCTATTTCCCCAAAATCTGACCAAATGACCAAAATGAATTTATTTTGGAACCCTTTCTTGGTAGGGCCAAGTACTTTCTTGACCATCCTCGTGTCTGTTGGATGGGGGTAGAGGTTTCTGATTCGGAGATATTCCCATTTTCTCCTGGAAAAGCCACAACACTGTAACTAATACTAAATAAAAATAAGGAAGGTCTTTTTTTTTTTTGCTTTGGTCCATTCTCTCTCTTCTCCTCCCTTATTCTCTCACTCGTTCGCTCTCTCTTTCTCACCCACTCCCTCATTGTTGTTCTATTTCTAATCCCCTTTCTCTCTCACACATTCTTTTTCTTACATATAAAACGTGTGACCGATTGAGAAAAGATATATTAAAAACAAACTTGGGTCTGAAAATTTATTCAACAATAAAATCAGGATTCTATACGGAGGATGATAAGGGGTGTAACAGCTTTTTTTTTTTCACAGTCATTTCTGCTTGGGCGTGTAAGATAGTTATGTGTGAGGGGTTTTTCCAATTCTTCCTTCATTTACTGTCTTCGTCAAACTGTTACATCATATCAGCGAGGAGAGATTTTTTTTATCAAAAATTCTAGTGAATATAATCTACCTCAGTTCAATTTTAGTTACTCAACAATTAAGTATTAGAAGTGGGGATAGTATAGCCCTGGGTGGCAACCAATTTAAGAGACGGAAAACAGAATTCAAACCCGTGGCGAAGGCAACGAGAAGCGACTTCACTATATTTCCGCAGAAATGCATTGTAATTCACGGACAAATAACTAAAAATCTATGGAGAGTCCTAATCAATTACATCCTACACATACACATTGGCCTGCACGCAAACATACCCTTGAAACAGTATGCCAGACATTAGTATTTAATTGAATATTTTCACACACCAATAGCTATGAATCAACCAATGTTGGTAATTTTTTAAGATCATACTAATAATATACAATAGGAATTTCAGTTTAAAATGGCTATCCTTATTAAAAACTAGCAGTCGAGCCCGGCGTAGCCCGGGGATGTAACAGTAAGAGATAGATCAAGTATCGACCATCATAAAGACTGAAAAATAAAATTGACAAAGGTCGATTTAAGGTTGACGGACACGCATGTCTTTTTTTTTTTTTTTTTACGAATTGGTCAAACCCAAACTCAAACAAAAACATTGTTTTCAATCATTCAATGAGTCTACCGATTGAATAGAATTTTTTTTATAAACAATTGTCTTGTAAATGGAATATTTAAAGCATTCTGAATTTAAAAATAAAGAAAAAAGTATGCAAGACAATAAGAAACACTACCTGCTAAAAAAAAAAGTGAAGTTTTGTTGAAATTGGTTGAAAAATATAGGAAATCTAATCCCATATATATATATCTGAACACACAGACACAAAAACAACCTGGCTTTTATAAGTATAAATCGATATGAGTTGTCCCCTTTTCATTCTCGCGATTAATCGTGTTTTCAAATTTCATTTTATGCAAAAACAATTGTTTTTTTCCAATTTTTGGCGCTGTTAGAACCACCGCAAGGTAATTTTGCGTAGTCCTGTGAAATTTTGTTGAAATCGGTTGAAAAATGTAGGAAATCCGATCCAATATATAAACGTACAGACACACACACAATCTGCGTTTTATAATAAGTAAGATATTGAGGTTTCAAGTTTTATTGTACAAGCCAAGCAACACAATATCACATATATACAAATAATTATTTTATTATGTTACATGTTAATATACACATTGACATTCTACAACCTTCATCAGTGCTTCAATCACTGATTTTGTTTGTTTTTTTCCTTTTTCAACTTTAACATTGCTTCAGAGCAGTTTTTATAGCTTCACATAAATATTTGCTTGGATATTATTTTTCCTTTTCATGTACATCTCTCTTAATGAATTCTATTCGATTATCTAGAGAGACTCGAAAGCCATTTAATTACCTTTGAAAGGTTTTTTTTGGCAAGGTTAGAAATAAACTGTTTCACATGATGGGGATGAATATTGTGTTGTATGAATAGACTCTCTAGCTTAAAGTTTATTGAAAATTCAGTTTTCCTTTTCTTAAATTGGTTGCCAGTAAAAGCTGCACTACCCGAACAGAACTGAAGTTGGGCTGAGGCAGGTTATATTTCTTTTGCACTAATGTCCTTTGGAAACCCGTGAATGTAAGGTTCTGCTTTCTGTCGCGTCGCTTGACTTTTTGATAAAAAGTGTCTCGTCGCTGACATGCCGTGACGGTTGACGAAGACAGTAAATGAATGAAAATTTGGACATTTTAACTAGCTTACCTGTACAGGTAGAAATGATCGCCAGAATTTTGTTTTTTATTTATTTATATTTTATTTTATATTTTTTTAAATTTATTTTAATTTTCTTTATTTTATATTTTTTTCATTTATTTTTTACAGTTTCCCTTTATTTTTCCTTTATTTTTTGCAGTTTTCATTTCTTTCTCCTTTATTTTTAATTTATTTCTTAAATTTTTCTTTTATTTTGTTTGTTCATTTAATTTTAAAATTTTTCTTTTGTTATTTTTTCATTTATTTTTTAAAATTTTCTTTTATCTTTTCATTTATTTTTTAAAATTTTCTTTTATTTTTTTAAAATTTTCTTTTATTCTAATTTATTTCTTTTAAAATTTTTTTTTTTTCTTTTATTTTATTTTTATTTTTATTTTATCTTTTTATTTATTTTTTAAATTTTCTTTTTTTTTTTTTTATTCTAATTTTTTCTTTTTTTTAAAATTTTGTTTTTTTAAAAATGTTCTTTTTTTTTTTTTTATTCTATTTTCATTTATTTTTTAAAAAATTTCTTTTATTTTTCATTTAATTTTTTTATATTTTTTCTTTTTTAAATATTTCTTTTATTTTTTATTACACACGTTATAATCCTCTGTATAATATATTGAATTGATTGTTGAATAAGTAAACCACTAAAAAAAAAAAAATGCCACCTCCAAAAGCCCCAGCTAAAGCACCAAAATCCCCCCCAACCATAGACAAAATCAAAACCCAAACCCCACCCACAAAAAAAAAAAAAAAAAAAAAAAAATTAAAAGAATAATGACGTTAGAATAATTCTCTGCACTTGATGCCATGGCCAAATTTGAAGAGATGTATCTATTTTACTACCTACAATAATAGTCTAAAACAATTATTCAACTTCAGTTTTGTTATTTTGTAAAATCGTATTGGTCGACATTTCTCGTCATGTATCCAATCTCTAGTTTAAGTTAGAAGCCGATCCAATGTAGCTCGACCTTCATCCTAGAATCTATCTTGCATATATATAGGTCCAACATTCGTCCAGCATATTGCTGTCACGTCTCGTCTGGTGCTTCTGCTATGTATCTAGAAATTCTTGACAAAATTCAAAGAATGGGCAATGTTATTGGTCGTGGCTTCAGTTATTTTCTTACTGCCGAAAGGTCTCCACAAGCGATGTGCATTTCTTAAGTGGGCTAACTGAATTTGCTTTACTGCAATAGCTTCACGTGGCTTAATGGTAAAGCACGCTTTCCCAGTTAAAAAGAGAATGCAAGACCGCTTCATGTCAGGAGGGACACTTTTCTTATATATATGTGCGTAATTTGTTATTTTTAATGGATACTCATACTTGAGTAGATGCTCTATTTTTATTTATTTATTAAACAGTATCTTTATTTATTCTACTGGAATATTCGAGAAATCGTGTTAGAAAAATATAGAGGTGGGCGCATATTTTTCCAATAAGATTTCTCGAATATTCAGGCCGGTAGATGTAAATAAATAAATAAATATACTGTTTAATAAATAAATAAATAAAAACAGAGCATTTACTCAAATATGAGTATCCATTAAAAATAACGTTTAAAAAAGATAAATTAAAAATATGTCGGATTTAATCCATTTCCTTTATATATATTATATATATATAT